AGTTTTGTTGGTTTATTTAATAAAATAGTTTGATATTGGCTAATATATTTTTTTTACAATACTATTTGTAGTATAATGATATTTGTTCTTGCTAAATAATAATAATAATATATATATTAATAATAATTGCTTAATAACTTTAATTTTCTACGAGCGTACACTCAGAATTAGAGCGCCAACAAGAACAAAATTACATATAACTCCAAACGAAGTTTAATACGTTGTGACTTTTGGAATAATTTTTACTCCAGTCATAACTGGTGTTAAAATGTTAAGAATTAAATCCCTCGTCGGTTCGTAGTCGTTTTCTGCTTTCTTTGGTTTATATACAGGGTGGGGCACCGAAACGGCCGATTTTAAAAATAGATTTTCTCAGTAGTAATTAAGATAAGAATTCTCACTAAATACTATTAGTTCAAATACAGCATGCCATTTAGTAAACATGGAGCAGTGGAGTGGTAAACAACGTGCTTATGCGATAAAATCATTTTACAAAAATAATGATAGTTACGTAGCCGCACAGCGTGAATTTCGTCTTCATTTTAATCTTAAACGGCATGATTCGGTACCATCGGCTAAGGCTATTAAAATATGGATAACCAACTTTGAAGAAACGGGTTCAGCATTAAAAAAGAAGCCTGTACGACAAAAAACTATTCGCACACCTGAAAACATCGTTGCTGTCGAGCCGCTCTCATAAAGAGTCCGAGACGTTCTGCACGAAAATATGCGTTATCGTTAAATTTATCCAGTAGAAGTTTACGTCGGATTTTACTCAGTGACCTAAACTTTCACCCGTATAAGGTGCAGGTGGTTCAAGAATTAAAACCTGCAGATCACTATAGCCGCATAACTTTTTGTCGAGAAATGCTAACCCGAATGGACGAGAACGAAAACTTTATTCAAAATGTTTGGATGTCTGATGAAGCACATTTCCATCTTGATGGTTTTGTGAATAAGCAAAATTGTCGTTATTGGTCTGAAGAAAATCCTCGCCAACTTCATCAACGACCTTTACACAGCGATAGGGTAACTGTATGGTGTGCAATTTCACATTATGGCATCATTGGCCCGTATTTTCATGAGGACGAAAATGGACGGGCAACAACTGTTAATTCAAATCGTTATGTCAATATGATCAATAATTTTTTGGTCGGCGAACTAACGAAGTTTCCTCAAAATGATAACTTTTGATTCCAACAAGATGGCGCAACATCCCACACGGCCCGAGTATCAATAAATGCTATTCAACAAATTTTTGGAAATCGCATTATTTCCAAAAATGGTGATATTCATTGGCCACCTCGATCACCGGATTTATCAGTATGTGACTTCTTTTTATAGAGATATTTAAAAAGTAAAGTCTATGCACAGAAACCTCGAAATATTGATGAACTAAAAAACAAAATTAAAGAAGAAATTTCCAGTACGCCTCTGGAAGTGATACACCGTGTAGTGGAAAATATACGAAGTAGGCTAGAAGAGTGTTTGAGAAGAGATGGCCATCATCTTGAGGACATAATTTTTAAAAAAATAAATGGCATGTTATATACTTCATTATAATAAATAATATTTAATTTTTATTTGGTTTTTTTATTTTATAATTTGTCTATGAAAATCGACCTTTTCAGTGCCCCACCCTGTATAATACGTTTAAAGTTTAAATGTCAAAAAAATTGAATGCCCGTCTAAAATTAAACGAATCGTAATTTTGTAATTATTGGACAATTGGGTTCGTTATATAGTTGCCTACATTTTATTATTTATATTATTTAAATTAATAATTATTCAATAATTAGAATATTGTGTGTGTAAATGGTAATAATAATGCAAATACCCCTACAGATGTATCATAAAGAATATTAGAAAAGTAAAAATATCCTATAGGAACATGTATTGTGACATCTAAGTTAGTTCAACATTCTCTGATTTATCAGTCAGCATATGTGAAAATCAATTTTATATTCCTTCCAATATTTTAACAATATTATTTTGATGGGGACTCCAGATTATCAAGCCATATTCTAAAATTCATCGTACAAGAGTAAAATATAAAACACTCAGGAACACAAATTGGATCATCAAGCTCTAAGTAATTACGTTTTTAATAACCCAAATATTTGTATGGATTTGTATTATGGATTTCATTGAAATATTTACTAAATGAAAGATCAATAGAGAAAATGATGCCTAAATCTTTAACTTTAGAAACGATACCGAATTTTTTATTGTTATAAATTATAATTAAATATAAAATTCTATTTATTTTTAGAAAATTTAAATTGATTGCATTTTTCCGTGTTTAAATTTAAACCGTTATTTGCATATTATAAATTGAATTGATCGAAGTCATATTGTAGTTAATTACAATCATTATTTTAGGGGCGTACATCGATTTCAACGGTTATTGTTCATAAAAATTAATTATCGATTCCGGTGGTTCCTATTTTCACAAAATAGTGGAAAAGTAATAGTAGGTAGGTACTCGATAAAAAAATGTTGGACATTACATAAAAATACCATCAAAAAATATTTTATCTACCGAACAAAGTAGCATTAAGTTTGAGGTAGGTAGTAGAAAAACAAATCATTTTGTGTGTTGAATTAACATTAAGAAACAATTCTTTAATACATAAATAAATAGTTTATATATGGAAAAAAAAATAAAAGCTTAGCCGGAAGTATTATTATATTTGTAAAGTACGACCGGTTTCGAATTAAAAATCTATCGTCAGGTATATACAAAGTCAATAAAATCGAATATGAAAACATTAATCGCAATTTATTTGTCGTCATTTTTTTTATTATTTTATTAAAAAATCTTTATTTTGTATTGTTGTAATTTGTAATTTGCTCATCCCATCAAGAACTTCCATGAGATTTTGCGGAATTTTATTTAATTTTATTTACAAAAAAAATACAAAAATTAGTAAATATTGTTTATATTAGAATCTGTACATTGTATAGTGTACTAATTGATTGTTTGTTGCTGACTTTTTTGCATAATTTGAAGATGAGTTTGTTTACCCTATTATAATTGCATATGATTTTTGCTGTATTTGTTGATTAGGTTGAAATAGTAAATGTGGTAGTACATTATTTAAACTAGCTAACTAGGTGACACAAATGTCACCCTGAAAATATTTTTTCGCCAAGTTGATAGTATTTCGAAAGACTGGACGAAACACAATTAGTTATTAAGATGGTTTTTTTTAAAATGAATTAAAAAAAAAGAATTAGGTAGCTATCTAAATTTGTATACAATACAATATATTGTTATATTGTTGATGTTTTCTAATAAAATTCAGATTTATTTTACATAATTAAGCGGTGCGAACGAAGAATACTATCATCATATTATTTTATAAAAATATTACTATTATATTATAAATAATATTATTGCTATAAATTGACTTTTTTTTTTTGAGAAAAAAATGGTTATCACCCAGTGAAAATGTCTTAAAAAATTCACTACCTACATAATAGTTATTATTTATATGCACTGAACTTTTTTTGTTATCATTATCCCGGTTAATAGAAATTCAGCATAGTTTCACCAATACATAAAGGATTTTAATCCGTCAAATAATTATTTGAAGAATTGGTTTCTAAGAAAATAATATTTACCTATCTATTTTTGTATTATAAATTAACAATATGGTTTTATAAAGTCGAGATCAACTACCACAAATGTATTAATTCTTATTGAAGATAAATATAATGCTTTATCAGCTGGTCACCAAGTCGAAGTAACTTATACATATTTCTCCAAAGCTTTCGATACCATCAACTATAACATTTTACATATCAAAGACATTAGTGATCACAGATCGTTTTCAATTTTTAAACATAAAAACATTAGTTAAGTATGTTTTCAATTAAAATTCTGATGGGTACGTGGCAGTACTCTGTACTTCCAAGTTAGTTTCATTGTGATAAGTGTATAATTAATGGATACTAAGGAATTTCAATATCTATAATTTTCAACACTAGAAATATAACTCACGTATATGTTGTTTTCTTAATTTTCATTGTGAAGGATACTATAATATTCCATTTTTTGTCTTATTTTAAATTTGAATGGGTAATTTTCAAATATAGTTACTATTAATTAATATTTTAACAGTTTATAATTATTTTTGTTAATAGTTAATTAATTTCTTTAATTTTTAATATTTATTATGTATAAATAAGAAATAAAAAAATCATGAGGTGATAAGTAGCGAGTAAACAATATTAATAAAAAACAAACTAACTTCCGAAAATAAAACTGTGAGCAGTTTTGGGTAAGAATCTAGGATCATTATTGGCACTAGTCATTAGAAGCCGAAGTGATTCATATTGTTGGTAATTTGTGGTGCCTCTGGAAAGTTATATTGTAACACATAGAATGAGAAGGAATTTTAAATTCTACCAAGGATGGTTTAACATATTTTTCTTTGAAAACGGGGTTATTTTAATAAAGAGAAAGACGACTTTATAGAGGTAATATTCACTTGTATGAGTTGAATGCAATGCACCCACCATAATGTTAAGACATAGAAAATGAACAATAAAAATTTTTTCTATCACAAATGTGCACTAAATATTAATAATTAGCAAAAAAAAAAAAAAAAAATAATAACTAAATCTTTTTTAATTTGAAAGGTTTTTAATTGAATGTATTTTACATAGTTTATACTGCATTTATTATTCTAACATCGTTATGAAATTGTATAATATAGTGACATACGCTAAATTTTACCTGATTAGTTATATTACATTTTAAAATGTTTTAACTAAATAACGCGAAAGAGATGCAACTGCATATACTTATAATTTCTATTTATTTACTTTTGAACTTAAGATTCTCTTACTTATATGTAAAATTGTTGATCAAAGAAAAATTCAACCTTTAAATTTTATTTAGATTAGATAGTCTACAATATGTTTTAAAATATTTCAACTTCATTTAAAACTTAAGATTAAACTCTTAAGATTTTTAAGAAAATATGAAATAATAATGAAACAAAAGTTTTTATTCATTTTTTAATTGTATTTTATGTATTTAAAAATACAAAAATTGTGTTTTTATTTAGGTACAGTAGCTGTGCATTTTCCACAATAGTGTCTGTTTTGCATATCAGCCATGAATACACCAGGTCCACAATTTTCGGATGTACATTCTTTCTTCAAACGGATAACCTTTCCATTTTCATCAACCTGTAATAAAGTAAAATATATTGTTAATAAAATAGAAATTCTTAAGAAAAAAAATGATCATAAAATAATTACTTTGTAGAATTTCAATACAGCCAACTTAACCTTCCTTTTCTTGTGCTTGATCTTTTTGGGTGTAGAATAATTCTTCTTCTTACGTTTCTTAGCACCACCTCTCAGTCTAAGGACCAAGTGGAGGGTAGATTCCTTTTGAATGTTATAATCAGACAAAGTACGTCCATCTTCAAGTTGTTTACCAGCGAAAATCAAACGCTGTTGATCAGGAGGAATACCTAAAAAATTTGAAATTATAAATATAATTTTAAAAATTGACTACTTAAAAAGTATTCAATCATTAAATAAATATTTATTCCATATGAATCCATCATGTTTCAAATGAATCTTAGAAAATATCTATTTTCTAAGTCTATCAAGTATTGAAAATAATTTAAACTAAGTAGATACTTATATAGAATACAAATTCAAATTAACGGGTAAAAGCAAAGCTGGGCAAGTTAGTGAATTTTATATAACTCGTGAAGTTATTTAAATTAATAAATTTTAAATTATTTAAAATAATAAAGTTAAGTTAAAAGTTACTTATATTTTTTTCTTTAACTCGTTAAGTTTAAAATTATTTAATTTGCAAAAATAAAAAATTGCACACATAATATTAGTTTTTTTTTTCCTCAAGAAAATTACAGGGGAAATTTAAAATGATACATAAAAGTATTAACTAGCTATCAAAAAATCTACTTTTCTAAAATATCTTGATCCTTAAAAAATCTTAGTCTTGAACTCGTATTCAAATAAATTTACAATTTTAATAATGAAATTAAATTGGAAATTATATCACAGTTGTTTTGTGATTTATCTCTCATCGACACTCGCTTTCATGGTATTTACTATTTCACAAAATATTCTTAGGATTTCCATGGGTTTATAGTGTTTATACAATAACAATGTTATAAAAATATAATGATAAAATATGGCCCATATAATGACTATTAGTTATTTTTCATATTATTTTCGTCTACAGGGAAGTCTAATTTTTTTTTATTTCTTTTTATTTATTGAAACTTAAAAATTCATATTAAAATAGTAAAATATAAATATATTAAAAATCTCATTTAATAATTTGCATTATTCTTTGCACTTAAATTAATTTACTTTTAAATAAAATTAACTTCAAGTTAATTTATAAAAAAAGTAACGAGTTTAATCTTAATGTTTTAACTTAATTTCAACTTTTAACTTGTTAATGTCCAGCCTTGGGTAATAGTGATTACTATGAATAGATTATTATAACTGTCTCAGTATTTAAAGACATTTATTTATTGTAGTACTTTTTTTTAAATATTTCAAATGGGCATTATATTTTGATATCAGTTTACGAGCAATGGATTTACAAAACATGTTATAAATTGAAAAATATTAACTTAAATAAACATCTGAATAGAAATATCTATGATTTAGATATTTACCATTATCTTCCAATCACTGCTTTTTTAATATATTTTTTTCTACGTTAATATTATATATTTTTAAATATAAATATAATAGTTTGTATAGAAATAAATAAACAAATGAATGAATGTGTAGTCTTTCATATAATATAAAAAATGTAGGATTGGTTTTTAATTGAAAATTCAATATCAGGTATATACAGTCAATAAAATCACGGCTCTAGATATTTAGATACTGTCACAGATAAGATAGTGGTTTAAATAATAACTTAATACGAACCTAAAATTTTGTTTCAAGAGACATGGGTTACAAAACGTTGAATGACTAATATTAGAAATTATCTATAATTTTTCATTAAATACAAAATCCTAAGTACAGTATACTTTTGATTATTTGCAAAATAGGGTGGTAGGGCATTTATGGATAATTCGCTAAATTATATTTACAAAAATATTTTATATAAAATAGGTAAACGCATTATCATGTAATTGACTATCGCAACTAAATTAAACCAATAATGATGTACAATGTACATTCAAGGGTCTGGTATTAAAGAAACATAAAAACTAAAATTGTGTTATTTTGATTATTAGGTTATAACATAAAACGATGTATCTCCAATGATACTGGATAGACTTTTTTTATTTCATTTAACATATCAACAATTACCAAAATGTATTAATACGTATTAAACAAACGTATTGTATTATTTTATGTCATTATCAAGTAATTAACTATCACAACCCGATTAAATCAATAATTATATATAATGTAAAGATATATATATATTTTTTTTTTGTAAACATATATATGTAGATGATCTCACAGAAGACAACGGATAATCCATAACGCAGATAGTTTTCTCACAGTTAATCGAGAGTGCACTGTACATAGGTTGAAACACATTATATTGTACAACACTTGGAATAAGTAATCAAACTTAATCATTCACAGACATAATGTTTGATGCATACTACATTTATCATGCATAACTGTTCCAGTTATAGAGATAGATCTTTTGGTATTAAAATGGTGGTGGCTTTCTTTAAAACATGATCAAAATAAAGAACAATCGGCAGGCTTATCATAACTATTTGATGGATGTTTTATTTTGAATGCATATGTATGTAATTCAATGTAGCATTTGTTATAACGGTACGCGTTTTAAAATGCAAAACAATTAGCTTGTAATAATTACCTTCTTTGTCTTGAATCTTTGATTTCACATTTTCTATTGAATCCGACGACTCTACTTCGAGAGTGATCGTTTTCCCAGTCAAAGTCTTTACAAAGATCTGCATTTTGCTGTAAAAGAAAAAATGGCAGTAAGTAACAGAAAAAGAATTTTGTTGGCAAATGCGATTTTAAATCTACACAAGCCACGTGGTATGGTCATCATACTTGCCGTAATGTAGTGAAAAATTATATTAGGATATATATACAATCGTATAGTATGTCTAAAGATTATGAATACATTTAGCGTTTATAAAATATTACCTTTTACTTCTATCCGCGAAGTAACGTAAGAATTCCCGTGCTCTTGACAATCCACATTCGTATGAAACTACCGAAAGACGCAAGATTTCGACTCACCAAATCATCAGATAATTCTTATCATTTCAGACGAGCGATTTGAGGTTATTCGCCAAAGAGTATAATAAATGTCTTTTGTTTTGTGGAACGTTTTGTTTGGACGTAGGATGATTTTCATAATTATTTCGGAAAAATAATTTTTATTTTAGTTTTTTTGTTCGTAAAAACGAATAATCTGCTTGTTAATTAATAATATAATGTGATTTAAAATAATTTTGGTTAACTAATGAAACACGGATTATGATATTCAAGACTTGTAACATGACGTTGTTGTAATTATAGCGGGCTTTTTGAAAAGTATATTTACACTTTTTTCCGAAACGTATGCCGATTTTAAAAAACATCGATTTCTTTGAAATAAAAAAAAACTAAAATGGTGGAATTTAATAAAATTACAGTACCATATGCTTAAAAGTGTAATGATTACATCAAACCAAGGAATGATTTTATTTTAGCAACCTATCGATTTTTTTAATTTTTTTTTTTCCAAAATTTGTGTTTTAGGGTGCTTTATAAGTATGTAAAAAAAAAGAAACTCGGAAAAACTTCGTTTTGAAGTTATTGATGAAAAACTTCAAAAACTTGAAGTGATGTCCTTTGTGATATTTTCGCTTTCCGAATTTTGATTCGTCAATTTCAACAATTGACACCGATCCACTTACATACGAAGTATTTATGAAGAATAATGCACTAAAAATTGTCTAATAGTGTGAAAATGAAATAAAAAATTTTTGCAAACGATGCATGTGGTATCGGCAATGGCCAATGAAACAATTATACGAGTGTTTCGGCACTCGTCGCTATGCTCTGCAAATCGAAAACATCCTTCGACTTGCTATGCAAAATCACCTCATGTAGTTAACAGGGACGATAAAAATGTAAATATGTGAAAATTAAAATTAAATATTCAATTCTAAGTATTCTTTTAAAAATACAATGCGCGTTATGAAAAAAATTAAGTTTTTGAATTTTTTTATCAATAACTTCAAAACGAAGTTTATCCGGGCTTCTTTTGTTTCACATACTCATAAAACACCATAAAACACATATTTTGGAAAAAAAAAAAAAATTAAAAAAATCGATTGGTTGCTAAACTAGAATTATGCCCAAACCAATTATGACATATTTTTATGGTCGTTGGTCTATTGTCTTCTTTTTGTTATATTATCACTTTACTGATTTGATAACAAATTATAATTTTACCTAAGTATACATATAAGTATCTAAGTATTTGTTATTCCCTTTAATAGGAATAAATTCTAATTTAAGTGTAAATTAAATTGGTATTTCATTATTTCTAAACGTATAGTAACTATTAATCATAAATCAATATTAATTGATACATTACTTAATTAAATTATTTTAATTCTGAGATATATTTTCAAAAATGCAGTTCATCATATTAATAATTCCACTATTGATGTTATTAGTAAGTACATCATTCTTTTTATTTTTAATCTTTAAATGAATACTGACTTTAATATGCTTTCATCAGGTTAATGGATGCAATGCGGATTATACAACGAATGAATGTTCATTACTTGGTTTCAACAAAGCTAATCTTTTGTGTTCATCTTGTGATCAACTTAATAAGTTTAAATTATCATCCTTAAGGTATTAATATTATTCTTAAATATTGTTAAAAGTTATTCCATCTGAAGTATTCATCCAGTTTAATATTTATATCATTGATTTACTGTATCAAAGAAAAAAACAATAATTTCTAATTGTAAACAAACTATTACAAATTTTTTAGTATTTTTATTGATAAATTGTTATTTATCTAAGTATTAATTATTGTTGTCTGTTCTACTATTTAATTATATTTAAATTAATTTATGAAGTTAATTTTTTAGTATCTATAAACATCTATATTTAAATTAACTAAGATTGTTTTCATTTGGTATTATCATTGATTATAAATACTAATATTTATTACTAGTATTTATAATCAATGGTATTATTAATATAAATCTTATTATATAAATTATACGCGGTCTATTCAATATTTGTTAAAATTAAATTATGAAATCATAGTCTATCTACATTGTTTTAATAAATTGATTTTATTTCAGAGATCACTGTTTAAATTGTTGTCAAATGGATCAAGAAAAATCAATTAAAATATATGCAAAAGCCAGATTGGAAGTCTGTACATGTAAATTTGGTGCTTATCCTCAGATACAAGGTATATGAAATGAGTTTTTATGTTTATAAAGTAAATTTTTATTTTTACTTAATATTATAAATTTTACATCATTTAGAGATTAATGCAGGCTTCCTTAAACAATAGATTATATTTTAGATTAACTATTGGTTTAAGAACACTAGATAGGTATCAAAATAATTGAAAGTGTTTATTTATTAAGACTTTTACCATTGTTAAATTATGAAAATGTTTACAAACTGGTTTTTGATAAAAGAAAGTTTTAAATTTTTTTGTGGTTTAAGTTAAGGTTATGTAAATTGTACAATTTATGTATTTTATAAGTTCTACAACGATTTAGGAAATATACTTAAAAACTAGTGGAGTGAATATGTATTAATATTTAATTAATAAATCGATAAAAAATTTTAATAATTCTTAGAAGCCTAACCATTTTTAATGATTACTGATGATTTCAATTAAAAATTTCAGTGAAAAAAATAAATTTTGATTGTTCCTATCAAAAAGTAATATATATTTATTATAAGTTTAAGTTTTTTCTTTTGATTATTTCTTTTTTTTCAGTATTACATTTTTTCAAAAATTCATATCCTTGTATTTGAACTTCACATTTATTTATGTTCTTACTTTCTTTTTTACGGTAATATTTCTGTTTTATTGTTTTGAATATTTAATTTGATGGTGACGTAATTTTTGTATAAACTAAAAGGTATATAGTCATATACATTTTTATCATGATTTTTCTTAATTCTTGTTATGATAAATAGTATCTTTGTGTTGTTATTTTAAATTGATATATAGAGATCAAAATGTATTTATTATAATAAGAATATAATTCAAATTAAACTAAATTTTTAATAACTATACTTATATTTTTACTATACAATGTATTGTTTTAGCTTATTAATTTTAGTTAAAGTTTAAAAAAAAAAAAAAATATTTTTAGTATGAATAAATATAATTATGGTAAATTTATTATTTATATAAACTTTTAGCCCTTAGTGAAAATTTAAAGTGAGTCTTAGGTTAGATTTCTATATTTAAATGTTGAATTAGATTGTATGATATGTTGCATTTTTGTATTTTTTTTTCAAAATATAACCTTTACACCTATTTTAAAGAATGTGCATGTCTTTTTTTTGATAAAATTTTAATTTTTTATAAAAATTTAATCTTATAATATGGGTGATTTAATTTGTATGACAAATTTATTACATTATAATTTTTAAGAAATTATTTAAAATATTTTCTGATAGTTTATCAGTGTCAAAATCTACTTTGTTACTATGATAATTATACATATAAAAACATTAACCCATAGCAGTTCTTAAAGCATTATATGAGTATGGTTTTTAACCAAAAGTCAACAAAATTATGTTAGTAAGAATAAGTACCTCTTATATTTTCCTATCCTTTTATCAAAAAAATGAAAAGGAAAGAGAGTAGTTATAGATAGACTAAAATAACATTTTGCTGGATAATTATTTTTCTTTTTTTTATATTATTCATATATTTTTTATCAATTAATGTCATTACACTAATATTTAAAATTATTGTAAAATTAAACATAGTTATTAATGAAGTAATATTTTTATAAAATGTACTATAAAAATAGTTTATAAATTATTTATGTTTTATTTCAGCATTTATAAAAAGTGATCGTCCTAAAAAATATCCAAATTTAACTATTAGATATGTGCGTGGATTGGATCCATTAATTAAACTCATGGATAGTAATGGAAATGTAGAAGAGGTAATTTTTTTTGATTAGTATCTATGTAATGGTAATTTTTGAAATATTTTTGTTTTGATTATAAAATAATATTAAATAATATTATATATTATAATATAATATTTAATAATGGTAAAAATATTGAAGCAATTGTATTTGGAAATGTAAATTATCTAATAGTTGTTTTGATTTACTGTTTATAAAGTTTGGGTCAATTTGGGAACAATAAATTCTGTATTGTAAATCATATATAATAGTGTATAACTAAGATTTATTATATTACCTACCAACCTGCTACTTGTATGATACTCGGTATTAAAACAGTATTGCTTTTCTTTTTAGGTTTTAGCAATTGAGCGGTGGGACACAGATACAGTGGATGAATTCTTAAGTACTCATTTAGAACATATTGAAGATGATTATCGATCAAATTTAGTATAAAAATACATACATTCCTTACTTTTTTTTTTTTTTTTCAGAAAAATAATTTATTTTATTTATGCCTTGTATGATAAATTTATTATTTGTGTCTGAGTGTTATTACTCATAATATATATTTTATTTTGTGTAATGTGTTGTTGCACAATGTACAAGATATCCTTATTTTTTAAGAAATATGTGAAACTAATATAATGTGGTTTTGTCTGTACTATTGAGGTGTTGTTATTGTCGTTATTATACCTGATGTAATAATAATTTTTATTTTTTTCGTTTGCTTAGAGAAGAAAAGAGCCGAGTGCCATTGAGAAGAATACATACTGGAGAGTGCGCGCAAGTGCGCCATATTGTGTACATGGCAATAATAGTGTCGAGACAAATGCATAGATTAGAATAATAATACGTCTAAACATGTAATGTACACGGTGTACATTATGTATATCACGACATCCGGTGCTCGATAATTAAATAGAAATTCTATTATCGCGCAAACGAGAACGAGTGCCGTACACAAATTGTTCCATCGGGACTGCCCGCAGTGATGCAAGCCCACGCTATGAAATTAGCGTGTATGATCATTTTGTGGAAAATGACAACGCGCTGTACTATAATCTCATTTTTTCTCCTTCGCGTGATCTGCTTATTCACCGTTAGCTGTTTACAAGACGGTCGTCTAATCGTTGTTTTATTCCTTTTCTGGGGGTTCGGACTCAATTGCACGTATACGTTTTTTGTATACCTTTAAAAATATGCGTTCCAAGGATGATGGTAAATATTATTTATGGGGCGGGAGGGGGGGTTGATATATTTAGGTAATAATTATTTTTATTTTTAAATATTCATTTACTAGCTGGGATTTTGGCAATGGAGGAGGATTAAGCCACAAAACGTCCCTTACCTACGCCACTGACACGCTCTGTATGATAAATTAACGTTAATTGGTTTTTAACGCCCGTGCAATTTGATTTCAGGAATCGATCCTTTGTATGTCGCATTAATGTCCTCGAATAATTGACGAATTTCATTCTGACCTCAATTTAATTTTTATCACTTTTATAATTCTATATTATTTGTGGTTACACCAGAGCTTGCAATCCAAGAGGTCAAATTAATGAGTTTTATGAAACGGTGATGTTTAATTTGCATAATGATTATAAATTTATTTATTGCAATTTATAAAGAATCTGGAAAATTTTCTTGGATTTAGTCCTTAATATTCTTTAAAATTCTAAACTTCGAACTCATCGAAAACTTCTTAAAGCAACGAAATCATTACTTACGAGTCACGTGAACTTACAATTTGAGATAGCTTAGATAATACTCCATCCCCATTCTCAATATTTATCGGGTTTATTCAAGTTTCTGCTAAGATTTGGAAGAGACGTCAAGAAGTTTGTCAAATTGTATAGTAAGCTTTACGTCATTTAGAGTCCCGTCGTAAGCCGTCCTCGAAGTTTTCGAGTCGCCGACGGGTGGTGTTATATAACTCTACCCTGTTCTGGAATAGGTTATACCGCGGAAGTCATCACGCATGGTCGGTTTCAAAATTAATTGAAAATATTGCCAACTCCCCGGTTTGATGGCGTTATTATACGGAACACTGGCCGTACGCGATATTACACTCGTCACGGGCAGCAATTATAAGTGGACGAACATTTCGTAAACGTGTTGTACAACCACCACGCCTGCGAGCGTACAACGGGTAAGAACATTCGATCGGGAGAAAAAGTCGACTATCTCTCATTTTGATGAGAGTATTTCGTATTTCGACAAATATGAATTTATCACGACGATGTGTACGCGATGCGAATGAACGTAATACAGCAGTGGCGTATCCAGGGGTGGTTAGGGGGTTATATCCCCCCTTAAAATGTTTAATGTATGTATATTGTCTATTGATTATAATAAAAACATACAAAATTCAAAAAAAATTTAATGTTACATTTTTTAAAACTCCCCCCCAAAAAAAAAATCTGGACACGCCACTGTAATACAGTGCACGTTTATGTGCACGTTGAAATACCGAAAGTGAGACAACAGAACAATAATACGTAACGTTCACAGTTACGATGTACAGGTACGTACAAATTACACGTGTACATACGCGGCTGCTGCTAATTTGCCGTTCTCCAAACGAGTAATCGAATTTCAAAAATAATTATTATGATTTCCTCGGAGAGAAACTATTACCGAACAAATGCAGCATTTTATTTTCACATACTGCCTGTATAGCGCTGTCCACGATGTTGCAACGTTGTGTATTTTAGTTCACGCGACAATTATGATCGGAATAGTAGCTGCAGGATCATGTCAGGATGTATTCAAAGACGGGGCCTCGGAGGGAGGTAGGATGTGTTCAAACCCGCCCGATAGAATTATTTTTAAACTTTTACGGGTAACCAACAAACGTCATTTCCGGGCACTATTGGCCGTTTAAAACTATATGAGCCTTAATGACGGCAATCATGAATTACTGTTACCATTGTAGAAACGTATGTTAAATCTGAAGATTTCAACTCAAATCCTACGTCGAAAGTGTACCATCTCATGTGCTTTATACAAACTCGAGTACACGAATCGTCATTACTCACTTCGATTTGCAAGAACGTTGATTTTGCAAAAAATAGTGAACCGGGCAAACCAATAATAATGTAAAAACAATGTGATTTAACGTAGTCTGTAATGCACTTTTTTTTGGAATTTTATTTTTAATTTTCTAACATCTTAGTTACAAATAGTAATATATTACCCCCAAAATTATTTTCTGGTTACGACCTAGGATGCGTTATATACTATAACATTATAGATGTACATCGCGTACAGCCGTCGATTCGGATTTTTTCTTCATATACCTATCCTCTTTCGGTTCATTTCCCATGACGTTAAAATAATTACCGACATACAGTCGTATAAAAACGTCGTATAAACGTCTCGGCAGTAGTACAATGTCTCGTCGTTAAATCCACACGGGGAATCTATGTGCACGCAGATTTACATCGTTTGAAATGTTCCCAGCGGCGTTGCATGAACGCGTAAAATCGAACTTTTATTAGATTTTCAGACGGGTTTACGAGTCACGCGTGCATCCGTCCGTATTTGAAAGCAGTTCGACGTTAAAACGTCTCTTCGATCACAAACGCTTTTGTTCAACTTACGGTACTCAATGCATTGCACGACAGTGGAGGATTTAAAATTTTGTTATAATGGAAGCCCAAAGTTTTTAAAAAAATTGTAAGACACCAAAATTTAAAAAAAAAAACACAGAACAGGATAAAATGCACTACTTTAAATCACAATGTACATTTCAAATAAGATTATTTGAGATGAGATCATTACATCAATCAGTCGGCTAATTATTTAGGTAGGTATATCATTTTGGCGATAAAATAATATAGAAGTTTTATAAATCCGTTTCCGTAATAGTTTTATTAAATTATTTATAATTTTAAATTTTAACTATTACAAAACTAAACGAGGTCCTAGGTTAATTAGGGGGGAGGGTGGAGGGCAAGACCTACTGTTATGATGGAAAGTCACGGGTGTTGTGCATTGCACTGTTGCCCGACGATAGTCTTGACGATTGATAATGCCAACATAACACCAGTATCGCAATATTTGTGTATTGCACGATGACGTGCTGTCACTTTCTCGAACATTTAAATTATTCATTCGCACCAACTGTATTCTAATCATACACAACGATATGCGAGTAGTAGATTTTTTCACTCGAGTGGAAATTATATTTATCGATCCTGTTAACCGTTAATCGCTACATTTTACTATACTTATAGGTAGGTAGGTACTGCTATGTATTTATCGAAAACGAAATTTATTGTTTCCCCTTCCCCACCACCAACAACAACTACAGATTTTTGGTTCATTATATTCATGATTTTAGTCAAAGCCACCCACAGGCCGGGAGAGGCACGACCCCTCCCGCTCCTGTAGATTGCATTTATTTGCATTTTATATAGAAGTATTGGAGGGCGATAAGGAGAACTAATAAGTGACACAAAATGTTTCATCAGTTTTCAATATCACTATTCAGCATTTGGTTTTAATCATGGTTGTAGGCCCATATCATAGAGTAACTCTATGTTTCATATATAATTGTGGTTTTCACTGGCCTCCCCCCGAGAAAAATTTCTGCGGATGGTCTTGATTGTAGTGATAACATATCAATACTTATTTTACGTATTCATAAGTTTAAAAGTTATGAAATAAGTAATAATGATTATAATAATAAGTTATAAAATAAGTTTCAAAATCCTGAAAGCCTACACTACAGCTTTTAGTTTCAAGCAAGTCATATACATTTACAAAAACATCTGCTGACATAATGTTATGTTAATATGTTATATTATTACATTGTTATACTATTAGTTTAAATTATCATTAATATTATTAATTATTACTGATTTGATTCGTATGAATGGTTAAACAATTAATGTTAAAATGTCAATAAGTATGTAATATATATTACAATATATATATTACAATATTGCATTATTACGAGTCGACCATTTAATATTACTTAAACCAAATTTAATTTTTTTTTAGAACTTTTAGAAATAATTTTGATAGTTCAACAATTAAAATATTAAATATAAACGTAGTACATTTAACGGAAAGTAGTAATGAAGTTGTTATGGAGAGGAAATAATAGGGAATATAATTTTATTTGTTAGGGATGTTAAAGCAAGTAGGAGAGGGTTTAATATCGATTTAATTTCTTCAATGTATTTGTTGACGATGTAAAACTGTCGATCGACTGATGATATCTTGGTTGTAGTTTTTTACACGTGTTGATTTTTGATTTGAGTAGGAGATGGAAGCATTGCTTTGTAGCACAGATTGTACGGCAGGTGTTGGAGTGAAGTGTTTTTTTGATTGATTTGATTTTTCCGGATTTATCTTGAGTATAATAATTACAGTATAATAATTATTATTTAATAACTCACATTTTTTTAAAAACTTGATTTATTACAATTTTTCAATACACATTATTACTTTCGTCAAAAATAAAAATAAAAATTTTGCAACATTTGAAGATAGTCAATAAAAAAATTATAGCTCCCCAACTCTCTAGTTAATGATACCGTATCTATAATAACAATGGATTTAAGATAATATATAATGACAGAAACAGATAGTGCATTTAGCTACATAATATTTTTTGTTTTTACTTCTGATGCGTACTCACATCATAAC